ACCAACAACTGCTACATAGCGTCAGGTTCTACAGGCAGTCACACAGGGCGAAATCATGCTTCGTTTTAAAGCCTGCAAACACAAAGACGACATAATGTTAGACCTTGGTTAGTCATATGCTTGTTCCCCACCATAGTGACTTATCACCCAAGGGCATAACGTTTGCTGATAATATTGCCGTCAATGTGCTTCATAGCTACTGGATCTTGATACCCCCCTGCATATGAAAATTAACATCTCGTGACTTCCATTAACCCTGCACATGAATATTAAACCTGAAACACGATGACTAAGAACAACAAACATGAAAACGTTATCGTTAAAGCCTACATTCCAGACAGCATGGGATAAGACCACACCATGCAGAGAGGCAGAGAGAGATTTTCGTGCGACTACCACACCTTCTTGTCAGAAAGAAGAGACTGGAATGGTTGAACTAACAGAGAAATCAGTACAAATAGCAAACCCTAGAATTGTGTACCCCATATAGGCTAACCCACTGTAGCCTAACAAACCCAACATATATAATGTTTGACACACCCCCATAGGCAAAGTGGGGGAGACCTAGGGGTCACAAGACCAGTCAAGGCAAAGCAAGGCAACAACAAGCTCAGGGTGGATCTCGAGGATTCCACACAAATTCCGAGCACAAGCTAGTGGTCACAAGACCAGTTCACATGCAGGTTTATAACAGAGCCAGAGATACAGTGATCACAACCTAGCAAGAGTAAACATGCAGGTATAGATATATATAGTGATCACAGTACAAGCAAAGTCAAGAGGTAAGCAAGTGAGGTCCAGTAGGCACAAGGCCTAGTAGAGTGCAGAAGCGCTGATGGTCACGAGGCTGAAGCGCCTTGGTGAACACATCAGCAGTGTTGGCCTCAGTGGCCACGTAGCGAATACAAAGCTGACCGCGCTGCTGCAGCTCTCGAGCAAGGAAGTACCGCAGGGCGATGTGCTTCGTTCTGTGCTCCAGTCTGTGCTCCTCACACAAGGCAATGGCAGCCTTGTTGTCGACGTACAGTACTGGAGGAGAACGAGGCGGCTCTCCGAGGTCAGTCAGCAGGTAGGTCAGCCAGCGTAGCTCCTGGGCAGCCATGGCTGTAGCGTAGATCTCAGCCTCGCAACTGGAGCCGAGAACAGAAGAAGAGCGTGTAGAGCGCCAAGAAACTGAGCCAGAGCCAAGGCTGAAGGTGTAACCCTGAGACGACCGCTGAGTGGCCTGGTCGTCTGCCCAAGAAGCGTCTGAGTGCCCTGTGAGCACAACTCGGTCTCGCCCTCCAAGCACAAGCCCCATGCCCGACGTACTGCACAAGTAGCGCAACACCCTCTTAGCGGCATCCATGTGCTCCTTCCTGTGACGGCCAGGAGCGACATAGCGTGCAAGGATGCTAAGAGGGTATGCAAGGTCAGGTCGAGTGCAGGTCATCAGGTACATGAGGCAGCCCACAAGCTCTGGATACGGGCCACTCGGCTCTACGGACTCATCCGAAGGCAGAGCTGAGAGCGAGTGACCGGTAGGCAGAGGAGTGGACTGAGGCGAGGAGTACGTGAAGCCAAAGCGCTGGAGAACCTGCTGCACCATGTGTGACTGAGTCAAGGTGATGGTGCGCCGTGCTCTGTCCCGGGTGATCCGCAAGCCAAGATAGCTTGTCAGCTCACCCAGGTCTGTGCACGTGTGTCTCCTCTGCAGCTCCGACTTCACGTAGGCGAGTCCTGCAGTGTCAGCAGTGGCAAAGACCAAGTCGTCGACGTACACGAGGATGTAGAACGGCGGCAGCGAAGTGTCGGTGCGCAGGAACAGCGACGGGTCAGCTGTAGAAGGCGCGAACCCAAGAGCCGCAACTGTAGTCCTCAGTGTGTTGTGCCACTCACGCGGAGCCTGGCGGAGACCGTAGACCGGCCGCTGAAGCCTCCACTGGGTACCAGGAGGAAACGACCCAGTGAAGCCAGGTGGGCGGCGCAGCCAGATCTCCTCGTGCAGGCTGCCCTGCAAGAAAGCAGTGCTGAAGTCAAGTGAGTGAAGCTCGTAGTCGCGGTGAGCGGCTATGTGCAGCAGCACCCGAAGAGTGGTCATCTTCGGGGTGGGGGAGAAGGTCTGGAAGAAGTCAACTCCCTCTCGCTGACTGAAGCCTCGAGCCACGTAACGCGCCTTGAAGACAGGCGGAGAACCCGGTGGCCGCTTCACCCTGAAAATCCACATGCCACTGACGATGTTCGCCCCAGGAGGGGGAACCTCGTCGACGTAGGTGCGTGTGGACTTCCAGGAAGCCATCTCGGCGTCCATGGCCGTCTGCCACTGAGAGGAGTAGGGACCCGCAATCGCCTCAGCGTAAGTGCGTGGGGTCGGGATGTCTGGTGCATCCGGGTCTCCCTCAGGGGCAACTAGCAAGGACACGAGACGGGGCAAAGCAGCAGCAAGACACTGGAACTCCTCTTGTCTGTCCTCAAGGACGTCCGTGCCAATAGCACACTCACCCCCGACGGACGGAGGACAGACAGACTCAGACTCAGACTCAGCAACAAGGCTAGCAGCGTAGTCTAGACGACAGGCAGCAGCAAAGTCAACCAACTCAGCGACCAGAGCAGACGCAGCAGAGGACTCAAAGGTAGGGTCAGTGACAACAGTAGCGAGGAGACGCGTGACAGTAGGGTGCTCAGCACGGTACCGGTCAGACTCAGGGTCCGGAACGTGAGGCAAAGAAGACGCGGGAGGAGACGGTAGAGGGACACGCTGAGGAGCAGTAGAGGGACGCAGAGTCATGTAGTGAGTGCCTGGGACAGGAGGAGGACGCTCACGACGGACACGACTACCAGTGCGAGCAGGACGAACAGGCGACGCAGGACGAGACTCAGGCTCACGACGCTCTGTAAGACCTCCTGTGGGACCAGTGTAAGGAGAGGGAGCAGGGAGAGGCGAGGTAGGCGGTAACTGTGACTGCGACTGGACAGGCAGAGGACACTCTACGGAGGGAGGAGGACAAGGAGGAGGAGCCTGCCCAAGAACCTGCTGAAGGAGCGGTACGAAGTACGGTCGCGGCCGTGCAGCGTCTCCAGAAGCAGAGGAGACTCCAGCGGCCGGGTCCTCAGCACCAGTAGGAGCTCCAGCGTCCGGGTCCACAGCACCAGCAGCAGCTCCACCGGCCGGGTCCTCAGCACCAGTAGTAGCTCCAACGCCCGGGTCCTCAGCAGCAGCAGCAGCGCCACCGCTCGGGTCCTCAGCTCCAGCAGCAGCTCCACCGTCCGAGTCCTCAGTACCAGCAGCAGCTCCACCGTCCGGGTCCTCAGCACCAGCAGCAGCGCCACCGCCCGGGTCCTCAGCTCCAGCAGCAGCTCCAACGTCCGAGTCCTCAGCACCAGCAGCAGCTCCACCAGGCGGGTCCGCAGCACCAGCAGCAGCTCCAACGGCCGGGTCCTCAGCACCAGCAGCAGCGCCACCCCCCGGGTCCGCAGCACCAGGAGCACCACTCCGAAGACTGCAGCGCCGTGTGTACCACTCGCGGATCTGCTGAATGGGGGGGAGCTCCTGGGTAGGAGGGGAAGTACCGGGACGAGCTCCAGCAGCACCTCTCCGGAGGCGGCAGTACTCGAGGTACCTCTCCTGCAGCTGCTGGGAGGAGAGGGCTCCTCCAGGTGTAGCACGCTCAGTCTCAGTACCCCCAGACTCAGCACCCCCAGACTCCGCACCCCCAGGCTCAGCACCTCCAGGCTCCACACCTCCAGGGTCCGCACCTCCAGGCTCAACACCCCCAGGCTCCGCACCTCCAAGCTCAACACCCCCAGGCTCCGCACCTCCAGGCTCAACACCCCCAGGCTCAGCACCCCCAGACTCAGCACCCCCAGGCTCAGCACCCCTAGACGCAGGACGAGAGTCAACAGCTACCTCGACAGGCTCACCCGGGTCTACCTGGGACACACCTGAGGGAGCGGCACCCTGAGGGGGGAGGGGGTCTGGTACCTCTGCACCTGGAGCGAGAAAGAGAGGGGAGCGGGGAGCGGGGCAGTGCGGTAGGGGAAGAGGCGGTAGTAGGGGACGGACTCGTCAAAAGTGACGTCCTGAGAGGCCAGGACACGACGCGAGGTGGGGTGGTAGAACTGCCAACCAGGGGCGTCCGGGACAAAGCCAAGGAAGACGCAGGGGACAGCGCGACGGGAGAGCTTGTCCGCGGACGTGTCGCGGACAAAAGCTCGGGATCCCCAGACCCGAAAACGCGACGCATCGCCAGCCTCTCCCGTCCAACGCAGTGTCGGAGAAGTCTCGGGCAAGGAGACACGGGGCCAGAGGTTGAGCTGATGCGCAGCGTATCGGACTGCAAACGGCCACAGAAAATGGGGGGCAGCCGCATGGCTCAAGGAGGTACGAGCGACCTCCATGACCAGACCAATGCGGCGCTCAGCAACCCCATTCTGCTGTGGAGAGTCCGGAAGCGTGTACGACTGCTCAATGCCCTCCTGCTGACAGAAGGCCTCCAATAGGCCAGAGGAGAACTCCCCACCTCTGTCAGAGTGCAGACGCAGGACAGGGAAGTCGGAGCGGAAACGCTCACGGAGCTGGAGACGAGATCTGCGGATCCAAGGGATCAAGACCTCAGGGACGTCACCCTTGGCGCGCAAGGGGAAGACCGTGGTGTAGCGCGAGAAGTCGTCAACAACAATCAGGAAGTACCTCTCCTGACCCTGACCACGGACGCGGGCTGGGCCCCACACGTCCATGTGGAGCGTCTGCAAGGGGGCAGTCGTCGGGGGAAAGGAGGAGGAGTGAGGAGCGGCGCGCTGCCGTCCCTCGACACAGGGAATACAGGGAGGAGCAGGCGAGTCGGGAAGGGGAGGGAGCACCCTGGGAAGACCAGCAACAAGGTCCCGCTGGTGCATGGCCCGAAGGCGCTGCATAGACGGGTGACCAAGGCGGTGGTGCCAAAGGACAGTCTCATGTGCCAGAGAGCGACACGAGCAGGGGGCGGACAGCTGACCTGACGCAGACGCAGACGCAGACGCAGCTACCTGAGGGGACACAGTGGTCAGTGTGTAAAGGTCCGACCCCGGCTCCCGAGTGAAGGTAGCCAGGTGGCGACCCGTCCGAGCACACGTGCAGTGTGTCACGCGCTCGTAGGCAGGGGTGAACTGGTGAACACCCCCGTCCTGGAGCGCACTACCTGCCACCAAGTTCGTCGAGAACGAGGGGAGGTAGAGACCGGACAGCGTGCCGGACGGGACCGCCGGACAAGGAAGGACAGTGGAGGAGGTCGCAATGACCGGACCCCCAGAGGGGTCAGCAAGGGAGACAGCAACTGGCCGAGCGAGGGGCTCAAGGACAGTGCGGTCACGAAAGAAAGAGCGAGAAGCACCTGAGTCCAGTGTGAAGGTGTGCAGTGCTGCAGTCGACTCAGTACCAGGGGGCACAGACGCACTAGCACCTAGGGCAGAAGCCTCACCAGGACCTGCGGGAGCGGACGCACTAGCACCTAGAGCGGCAGCCGGACTGGCTTGAATGCCCGGGTCGGGCGGAACACGCAAGTACTGAGCACCCTCTCCACTAATAGACATCGCATACATGGCAGTGAGAATAGCATCAAAGTCTAAAGCCCAAATATCAACACCCCTCTTCTCCAGCTCAGCCCAGCGCGGCAGCTCAGTGGCAGTAGGAAACTGGGTGCGCCACGCGTCGGTAAGGCGGGCGAAGCAGCGCTGCGTGGGGTGCAGCCTCCCACACTGCTGGCCGGTGCGGTCACCTGTGCGAATGACGTACGTGCAGGTAAAGCCACGCTGCGCATACCACTCACGGGCGGCCTGAAGCGTCGGGGCGGGCTGCTGACTCTGCCCTCCGCCAGTGCCCCCACGACCACCACCCCCTCCGCCTCCGCCCCGGCCACCTCCACCCCTGCCGCCACCACGACCACCTCCGCCTCCGCTGCCGCCTCCGCCCCTGCCACCACTCCCGCCGCTGCTGTCGCCTCCCCCACTACCGCCACTAGCCTCCTCAGCCGCGCCTCCACTCCCACCGCCTCCACCCCCACCTCCTCCGCCGCCACCCCCGCCCCTGTTCCCTTTGCCCCTGCGGCGCCCGCTCGAAGCAGACGCGGTCCCGACCTTCTCAGCACCAAGGAGGTCGACAGCAGCAGCAGAGGCGACAGAGGGGAGGAGGGGGGAAGGGGAACACCCCTCGAAGAACGGGGTGCGGGGGTCGCCACGAGAGGTGCCTACAGCGACGATGCTCGCCTCAGCTGCAAGCAGTTCCTTCTCGAGGAGGGCAACAGTGAGCTCAGTGGGGGAGCGAGAGAGGAAGTGGTCCCTGACTGCGCGCAGAGAGTCAGGGAGGCGGGTGACGATGTGGTAGAGAGTGATCCAGAGCGGGGGGGGTTGCTAGTGAGAAACTCGGCAGGCATAGCAGCGCGAAAGCGGGCCTCACTAGTCTTAAGGTGGGTGATGAGGTCTGCGACAGTGTGAAAGGAGGCTAGGTCGGGGAACAGGTAGGGAAGAGTGAGGCGGCCTAGCGTAGCAGAAGCGGGTGAGGAGTAACGGGCAACTACAGCGGTGTAGAGGTCCCTAGCAGTCTTGCACTGGCCAAAGTGCTCGCGCTCATCTAACGGCAGGGAGTTGCGGATGGCAAAGCGAGCGTGGGCGTCACGAGTCTGCCACTGGGAGCGGGTAGTGCTGTCAGCATCAGTAGCAGGGGCAGGAGCATGGCCGAGGGCGTGGTCATACAGTGAGATGTCCTCCTTGGCAGTGAGCTGTAGGAAAAGGTGCAGGTCATCGAGCCAGGTGTCAAACTTCACTGGGCGGCCCTCAGCATCGAAAGCAAGTACGGGAGGACTGGCCATAGTGGTAGCCGTAGTAGCAGTAGTAGCAGTAGGATCAACAGGGCTGCTAGAACGGTCGACGAGGCTCGGTAGGGCGGCGCGGCTCAGTTCAGGTAGGGCGGCGCGGCTCGGTTCGGGCTGCGCGGCTGCGCGAAGCCGCTAAGAGGGGCGGGACTGGGTCGCGGGGGCCTCTAAGCGGGGCTCGACGGGGCTGTGGGGCCGGTAAGCGGGGCGCGCGCGGGGTCGAGGGGCCGTGTGGTGGCGGGCGACGGGGCCGCGGGGCCTCTAAGCGGGGCGCGCACGGGGTCGACGGGGCCAGGGGGGCCTCTAAGCGGGGCACGCGTGGGGTCGACGGGGCCAAACGGGGCCGTAAGCGGGGCGCGCGCGGGTCGACGGGGCCAAACGGGGCCACTAAGCGGGGCGCGAAGGGGTCGACGGGGCCAAACGGGGCCGTGAGAGGGGCGCGCGCGGGTCGACGGGGCCAAACGGGGCCGTAAGCGGGGCGCGCGTAGGTCGACGGGGCCAAACGGGGCCTCTAAGCGGGGTGCGGGCGGGTCGACGGGGCCAAACGGGGCCGTAAGCGGGGCGCGCGCGGGTCGACGGGGCTAAGCGGGGCCACTAAGCGGGCCGCGGGCGGGTCGACGGGGCCAAACGGGGCCTTAAGCGGGGCGCGCACGGGTCGACGGGGCCTCTAAGGCGCGACGCGCGAGTCACTAAGGGGCGGCGCGCGGGGTCGACGGGGCCTTAAGGGGCCGTACACGAGGGCGCACGAGGGCGCTGAGGGGGAGGCGCTAACGCGACGCTCCGACAGTAGATAGGTAGGTAGGTAGTCAGTGGTGGGCCCTAAGAACGGTCCTAGCGAAGGACCTGCTCTGAAACCATGTCAGAAAGAAGAGACTGGAATGGTTGAACTAACAGAGAAATCAGTACAAATAGCAAACCCTAGAATTGTGTACCCCATATAGGCTAACCCACTGTAGCCTAACAAACCCAACATATATAATGTTTGACACTTCTCTCTCATGCAGAGAGCGTAGAGACGATCTGTGCAGTGGGAGGCTACACAAGAAAACAACAACGTACCTGTTTAAGGTGGCACAGGCGTGCAATTTGAAATGGGAGGAAATAGATCTGCATTCATTATGGGAAGAAATGAACCAAATCGAGAAGAGAAGAAGCCTAAAACGTGAGAAGAAATGAAAGAGTGAGGATAAGAACAGGAGTGATGGGCGTCACATGATTCAGTATGCTTTCGAATTTCAGTATGCGGGATGTGCAGCTGAATGTGTTTAGCACACACACCGGTGCTTTCCGCGACGAACACGGGGCTTCCGCAGCCGGGCAACGAGCTTTTCGTCGCTGCGTCCGTAGGTTGACGGGTGCTGAGTCCGCGGCAATTCGCGCGCAGAACGTCCTCCGCGTGAAGAGAGCAAGGCGACGAGCTGTATATGGGACGGGAGGTAGAAAAGGAGGGGACAGATGCAGGATGAGACGGTAGATCTGGGCAGATGTTGAAGGATTGATACTTCATACACTAGTTTATTAGATGCACAAACGTAAGACGTACGTTCTACGGTATACGCTAGCTGAGGGGACTGCAGAGACATGAGGTAGGTTGAAATGGAACAATAACCTGAGCAAGATGTGTGAACAATAGGCTAGGCAACTAGCGGTTTAGGGAGAGATACACTCGTAGTGTGATGCTTCTAGAGCTCCAATGTGTGATGATGTGTCGTCACGGATGCCGTAGATTTCTGGAATAGGTTAGACCACACCAGTAATTGGTCATTAAAAAATCGTGAGGATAGCTCAATTCCGGTTACCTGTGGTCCGGGGAAGCCACGTCACTTGAACAGAATCTGAACACTTAAATTGTTTGGGTGTGACATGGAACTGTATGCCAGCTGCCAGTTTCGATTCTGGCTTGTGCCTTCGCGAGCCTCGTTTAATTTTGTATCCCAGTTACTGTGCTCGCAACGTTCGACAATGCCTACCTGATTCGGGCTGCAGTGTTCCCCAATCGTACACCAGCAAGGGGAACTCCCGAAGTTTGGTCGTGACCAGGTGTGCTGTTCGGTGAAGATGATTCGAAAATGATGCAATAAATTCGCGGCTCGGATAACCCACGTATCCAAAATTCGCGCCTCGTGTAACCCACGTATCCAAAATGCGCGGCTCGGAAGCCAGGTTGTATCAGAAATTGGTGCATGTTGCATAATTCACTCAGAGCTTTTCGGATACTTTCTGCAACGTTTCTGCAACTTTCCTGCAACCTTCAGACTTAAACTCGAATTTGAGCCAGAACCTTTTCCGCGATGTGCAAGTGGATGATGGCCATGTACTATGGGGAGAGTCCCCTCACGGATTCCGAAGGTCTATAAATGGAGCTGCTCCCAATGACTGAAATCTTCGTTCTATAAGCGCTGAATGTCTCGTGCGACTAGAGCATGCATGGAGCTAAAACAACTGATGCGACTTATTGTTACTGTTCTGCGCTGGAAGACGTCGCAAGGGGGTCAGCCTTGACGAGATAGTGAAGATCAAGATGTCAAAAGACTACGATGCCAAGGCTGTCACAACGCCCTAACAGTAAGTGGAACAAAAATCCTAGTAGTTACAACGAAGGACACTAAGATTGAGATTAAGTCATACTGGCTGGTGATAATTAGTTGAGAGCCATAGAAAGCCTTTTGTCAGGGAGTTGGCGTACAGACTACGGTGACCATGAAATCCATAGCTTGTGAGAGGAAAGCGGGATTTCAGAGTGGCATTACCTGAGCGACAGGCTTTCCGTGGAGCAACTTGGGGGATTTAGAACGATTGAGAACGGTTCCCAGTGGATTTCAGACGGCAACAGCAGAAGAGCACTCTCCCTCTCGTGGTCAGGTCAAGGCCGCCGTACCGTCGGCGAATATGTCACTTTCGTGAACCGAGATTTGACGAGATGGTTTGCTCCTGAGTGTTGCTCCTGAGTGTTGCTCCTGAGTGTTGCTCCTGAGTGTTTCTCCTGAGTGTTGCTCCTGAGTGTTGCTCCTGAGTGTTTCTCCTGAGTGTTTCTCCTGAGTGTTGCTCCTGAGTGTTGCTCCTGAGTGTTTCTCCTGAGTGTTGCTCCTGAGTGTTGCTCCTGAGTGTTGCTCCTGAGTGTTTCTCCTGAGTGTTGCTTTTGAGTGTTGCTCCTGAGTGTTGCTCCTGAGTGTTTCTCCTGAGTGTTGCTCCTGAGTGTTGCTCCTGAGTGTTGCTCCTGAGTGTTGCTCCTGAGTGTTGCTCCTGAGTGTTGCTCCTGAGTGTTTCTCCTGAGTGTTGCTCCTGAGTGTTTCTCCTGAGTGTTGCTCCTGAGTGTTGCTCCTGAGTGTTGCTCCTGAGTGTTGCTCCTGAGTGTTGCTCCTGAGTGTTGCTCCTGAGTGTTGCTCCTGAGTGTTTCTCCTGAGTGTTTCTCCTGAGTGTTGCTCCTGAGTGTTGCTCCTGAGTGTTGCTCCTGAGTGTTTCTCCTGAGTGTTGCTCCTGAGTGTTGCTCCTGAGTGATCCACTCCTTTTGTCCTGGAACCAGGGCATGGGCTGGCGAGAGGGAGAAAAAAGGATACGGGATGCAGGAAACTGGTCAGGGATGGAATAAAGCAGTGAAAGATAATCACAAGAAAACAACAACGTACCTGTTTAAGGTGGCACAGGCGTGCAATTTGAAATGGGAGGAAATAGATCTGCATTCATTATGGGAAGAAATGAACCAAATCGAGAAGAGAAGAAGCCTAAAACGTGAGAAGAAATGAAAGAGTGAGGATAAGAACAGGAGTGATGGGCGTCACATGATTCAGTACGCTTTCGAATTTCAGTATGCGGGATGTGCAGCTGAATGTGTTTAGCACACACACCGGCGCTTTCCGCGACGAACACGGCGCTTCCGCAGCCGGGCAACGAGCTTTTCGTCGCTGCGTCCGTAGGTTGACGGGTGCTGAGTCCGCGGCAATTCGTGCGCAGAACGTCCTCCGCGTGAAGAGAGCAAGGCGACGAGCTGTATATGGGACGGGAGGTAGAAAAGGAGGGGACAGATGCAGGATGAGACGGTAGATCTGGGCAGATGTTGAAGGATTGATACTTCATACACTAGTTTATTAGATACACAACGTAAGACGTACGTTCTACGGTATACGCTAGCTGAGGGGACTGCAGAGACACGAGGTAGGTTGAAATGGAACAATAACCTGAGCAAGATGTGTGAACAATAGGCTAGGCAACTAGCGGTTTAGGGAGAGATACACTCGTAGTGTGATGCTTCTAGAGCTCCAATGTGTGATGATGTGTCGTCACGGATGCCGTAGATTTCTGGAATAGGTTAGACCACACCAGTAATTGGTCATTAAAAAATCGTGAGGATAGCTCAATTCCGGTTACCTGTGGTCCGGGGAAGCTACGTCACTTGAACAGAATCTGAACACTTAAATTGTTTGGGTGTGACATGGAACTGTATGCCAGCTGCCAGTTTCGATTCTGGCTTGTGCCTTCGCGAGCCTCGTTTAATTTTGTATCCCAGTTACTGTGCTCGCAACGTTCGACAATGCCTACCTGATTCGGGCTGCAGTGTTCCCCAATCGTACACCAGCAAGGGGAACTCCCGAAGTTTGGTCGTGACCAGGTGTGCTGTTCGGTGAAGATGATTCGAAAATGATGCAATAAATTCGCGGCTCGGATAACCCACGTATCCAAAATTCGCGCCTCGTGTAACCCACGTATCCAGAATGCGCGGCTCGGAAGCCAGGTTGTATCCGAAATTGGTGCATGTTGCATAATTCACTCAGAGCTTTTCGGATACTTTCTGCAACGTTTCTGCAACTTTCCTGCAACCTTCAGACTTAAACTCGAATTTGAGCCAGAACCTTTTCCGCGATGTGCAAGTGGATGATGGCCATGTACTATGGGGAGAGTCCCCTCACGGATTCCGAAGGTCTATAAATGGAGCTGCTCCCAATGACTGAAATCTTCGTTCTATAAGCGCTGAATGTCTCGTGCGACTAGAGCATGCATGG